TGATCAAGCATATCATCAAGGCGTGGAATTGGGAAGCGGTACTTGATAGTGATTTTGTTGACTGCCCGACTATCTACACACATTCTCCAAGTTCCATCTTTCTTTGGGACAAGTAGCAGACGAGTAGCACAGGCATGGCACATGGGCTAACACTTTCCTTGACAAGTCCTTTCTCCATCAGTTCTTTGACTTGTCGTTGAAGTTCCGTATACTCTTGAGGGTTCATCCGATAAGCAGGCTTGTTTGGGATGACAGATCCTGGGATGAAATCAATGGCATGCTGAATATCTCTCATTGGTGGTAATCCAAGAGGGATCTCGTCAGGAACAACATCAGAAAATTCTTCAAGGAGAGATCGGATTTCTTCTGGAAAAGGGCAAGTGGCATCATTTACTTTGGATAATAGTAGGAGTCATGCTATTCCCGACTCTTGGTGCAACTTCTGAAAGGTTGATCTAGAGATTAAAGCCTTGTCCTCATCTTTCTTTTCAAGTGTTTCTTCAGGCTTCAGGGGAGTGAGCTTGACCTTCACACCATCTTTCACAAACGAGTAGGTGTTGGCATGACCGTCATGGATAGCTTTTTAGTCAAATTGCCAAGGGCGACCAAGTAACAAGTGACAAGCATCCATAAGAATAACATCACACCATACTTTGTCTTGGTACCTATTACCAATAGAAAAAGAGACAGGGCAACGTTTGGTTACTTTTACCTTGTTTCCCTTTCGTAGCCATTGTAACTTGTACTCGTTTCCCTTTCGTAGCCATTGTAACTTGTATGGATGGGGATGATCTTTGACAAGCAGACCTAGCTTCTCAACCATATAATTTGACACAACATTCTCACAACTTCCACTGTCAATGATGATATTGCAAACTTTCCCTCGAGAAGTGCATCTGGTGTGAAAGATGTTATGTCGAAGCCAATCTTCATCTTTGGTTATGGTAGCATGTAGACTACGACGCACAACCAAAGATTCTCCATGGTCAGCTGGGATGAGTTCTTTCTCAAGCTGGGGTGACTCAGTTTCATCATTTTGCTCCTTTTCTGCTTCATCTTTTGAGGCTTCATGAATTTCTCCTCTGATAATGGTGACAACTCTCCTATTTGGACAGTCGGAGACTATGTGGCCAAATCCTTGACACTTGAAACACTTTCGAGTGTTAGATTGAGCTGGACGGCTCGAGCTAACTTCCTTCTCAATCTTGGCAGGGGTCTTAGCAACAATTTTTGAGGCTTGAGTCCCTTTGCTGGCTCCAAAATCCCGCGATTTTGAAGTACTAGGGATATTCTTCTTTGAGATTTGCTTTTCAACCCTCAATGCTAGTCAAATTACATCATCCAAAGTCCAAAATTGTTGAAGTTGAACTACTTTGGAAATGTCATTGTCTAATCCTCCAAGATATCTTGCTATGGTTTGCTCTTCTTCTTCTCGAACATCACACTTCATCATTAATTGTTCGAACTCCATAGTATATTCTTCCACAGTCAAAGATTTTTGCTGCAAGTTATGAAATTTAACAAAATTATCTTGGCAGTAACGGTCAGGTAAGAACTTACAAGTGAGTTCCCGACGCATTTTCTCCCAAGTTCTAATTTTGTTGCGGCTTTCTCTTTCTCAACTACATTTGAGATTCTCCTACCAAATGGATGCATGTTTCTTTAATTTGATGGCGACGAGCTTCACACGCTTATCGTCAGGAATATCCTTGAGTTCAAACACACGTTCCACAATGTGCAACCAATCAATAAATTCATCTGGTTGAAGGCGACCTTCAAAATCTGAAATATCAATTTTGATGCCAAGGTCAGTGGATTTAGGAGCAACATTTTGTTGGGGACGTTGTCGACGACAAAGTTTTCCTATTGATGATGAGCTTTCATTATCCCTTAGGTGATGGAAGGGATTCTCATCGTCAGTATCTTCTTCTGACTCATGTGGTTCATCTTGCGGGTGTTGAGCTTGTTGTCCCTCAAAAGCTTCGAGTCTTTCTTGAAGCCATTAAATTTGTTGACGTAGTTCTTCCATCTCTATGTCCAGAACAGCTCGTTGACGAGGAGGATTTTGTCTTCTAGGAGGCATGATGAGTTTAGATTGGTAAAGGGCTTTTTGGAAAATTAGTATTTGAAAGTGGGGGTAATTTGAAATTTATAAAATTATGGGGTCAATCTGTAAGGTCAAAATAAGTTGAGGGACTTGATGACGTGGTAAAAGATTGCGGCTGCGGTGATGATGTGTCACTGACGTGTCTGATGACGTGTCAAGTGATGTGGCAATAGATGATGTGGTAGTGACTAGATGATGACGTGGTTGATGACGTGTCTAATGACGTGGCGAATGAGAGGTTGAAGATGACCGACGCGTGATTTTCACGCGATTTGTAGTGGTGCGAGTGATCGGCGCGTGAGAAAACGACGATGGCAAGTGGAGGCGCGTGCTACCTTGTTTGTCGACCAAATTTTCACTAGAATGCTCAGAATGACGTGCATACTCCAAATATATTGGCTTTGATACCAAATGGCGTAGGAGTCAATACCGAAACATCAATTTTGGTGAGATTTAGAATCCCACTACGATGAATTCGATTGTCAGGTTCACCACTTAAGTTGACAAGACTTAGGATACAGACATAAATTGAAAGAATTCACTCCCAAAAAACTAACTCAACAGAAAACTCACTCAACAGAAGAGAAATATAAACTGAAATTTTGGATTAAAACTTATGCATACAACGAAGGGAACATAGCTATTTATAGGCAAAATCTAACATAAGGCAATAAATGAAAAGTGAAAATGCAGTTGGGAGTTAGTCATCTTTGTGGAATTTAGTAGCCACTTTTGACAAAATTGTACCAGTCTATTTGTAGTCTGCAGAGTGTAGTCTGAAATTTACTGACTTGCAATCCTAGTGCATTGTCCTGGTGCTTTCGTGGTGCTTTCCCCGGGTGCAGTTAAGCTTGTCAAAGACATACTCCACCATTGCCAATTAGAGTCATCATCAAAATCACCGTTCATCTCATCTTCCCAAGCTCCCAGTCACTTGTGGATAGTTGAAGCTCTATATGTCTATATGAGCATCTCATCCAGCAGTTCATAGGCATCATCCCACCCAAACATAGGAAGCTTTTGAAAACACCCTACCGTAAACCCCTTGGCTTGGCATTTCCTCGAAAATATCGTAGTACTTGTAGAGCAACCCCTTACCGCCCAAAAAGACTGACCATAATCGCGTGGATACGTTCAGATCTCACGCCCAAGTCAGTCACCGCGGTGCGCGAACTCCTCCGACCGACGTCAAAAGCTAGACCGCGCGATGCTGCATCGTGGAGGGAGGGAGGCAGCTCAGCCAGTTGATTAGGGTTTCCATATAGTAGCCGTACTTGCCTTTTCTCCAGTCACGGAAGAGTTTGCCGAATGCCGAGGATGAGGTCTTTCGTCCTGGCTCAACATGTATATACCGGCAGTAAGGAATCTCCATTGTGTGGAAAACTCGAGGGAAAATGAGAATTCGATGATTTTAAGCCGGCTCAGGGGAATTTTGTTGGTTGTTACGGAGGGAAGACGGAAGAGGAGAAGGGACAGTACGGTGAGGTTCGACGATCATGAATTGTGAGTCTGTGGGAGATGACAGATGCTGGCGGGCTCACGCGGGTTACCCGAATTGATTTGTGTGGATGTAATGTAAGGGTTGACCGGCGATTTGGCGGGAAAAGGACACTTTTTAAATTGCAGTGGACCCCGCGCTCAAACCCTAATTATTAGTAAATGATTTTCATTTAAAAACATTATTTTCAATATAGACAGTATATGTAAAGTATAATTTATTTTATAAATTAAAAAAATTTTATTTTTTTAAAGAATGTTTTAACTTTTAAAGTAGGTTTAAGTACCATTTTGGTCCCTCAACTATCCACTTTGGTACCAAAATTGTCCCTCAACTTTAAAAAGTACCAAAATTATCCTCAAACTTTCATTTTCGGTACCAAAACAGTCCTTCCGTCAGTTAAATGACAGGTGTCACGTTAATTTGCCAGCAAATCAGTTCTTTTTTTGCTTAACTAATGACGTGGAAAAAAAAACCATTGTTGGCTTATGAGTTGGCATTAGTTGGCATTTTTATTTAATTTTAAAATAATAATTTTTTTTTCATCCACATCATCTCTTCTTCCTCTTTCACTTTCTCTCTCCTTTTCCCTTACCTC